TTGGCTGGCTGTCTTTGGGATCTGGGGTTTCAGTCTGGGAAGATTCTTGCTAGAGATTGTAGCTAATAAACATAGCTGGACTGAATTTGCATTGTATCTTGGAGTTCCTTGGGCTAGGCCTGACACCAATCTTCCCACTCAAACCCTAGCTCCCAAAGTCAGCCAGCCACAACAGTTCCTCAGGGAGGTGCCAGTCTCATCCTCTTGTTCCTCCCACACTCTTCTGGCGAGCTAAGAAAATGTTTATCTCCCTGAGCCTGGCCTTCATAATTCCATTCCATCACAGAAGTTATATTTTGTACCCCTAAAATGTAATCCAAAATTAAATGTTAATCATTTGAATTATTTTATGTACCTTATGCCATCCTCTTGTTCCTTCCACACTCTTCTGGCGAGCTAAGAAAATGTTTATCTCCCTGAGCCTGGCCTTCATAATTCCATTCCATCACAGAAGTTATATTTTGTACCCCTAAAATGTAATCCAAAATTAAATGTTAATCATTTGAATTATTTTATGTACCTTATGCCATATAATAACAACATGTAGTTTCAGGGCATAATTTGATAAGTTACATGCTCTAAGTGGAGTTGGATCTTCAGCCAATGAAATCCTGTTTTTAAATATTCATCAGCATATTTCTTATTTATGCTTTTTACATTGCTTGTGTGAGATCACAGTTAGGCTTAGCACAGCATATGTAGATGCACAGTCAATGACATCATTTAAGACCTATTCCCTATTACCAGTTTTCTGAATTTCAGGGCTCATATTGCCATTTGTATTATCATTTCTGTATTTCAATGAAACAGTTCTCTGTCATTTTTGCAAACAAGTAGCAATAACCCAGGATGGTAAATGACACCAAAAGTACTCTAAAAAAACATTTTAAAAAATTGTGAAAACCAAAATAGTTTAAACAGCAACTATTCTGACACTTTGTAGAAAACAGACAGGTTGGGATTGAGAAGATACCACAGTCTCACACCCCTTGTTGTCAACAGTGTTTCCAATGGGGTCTGCGGTGGGGAGATGTCAAATTGATCAGTCTGATGAAACCAATGTCATGCCATCATGACACAAGCACCACTTTTTATAGGTGCATTGCACATACATCCAGAAGTTGTGGCATTACAGCATGATATTGCTTTTGCTATTTTGATGAAAGCAACCAGAGCTGCAGATGCCCAGGAGTGTTTCTTAAGCCAAATATGAAAAAGTAAAATACTCAGTTGAGTGCCACTAATCTGTGAACCCCACAAATCTCTTGACTGAAATCTCTTGATTGAAATAAAAGTCATGTGATACAACTTTAGAGGAACTATATAGCATCAAAAGAGTTGACTACTGGTGGGGGGCCTTAGGTTAGGACCAGGCTTTAGTCAGTTGACTGAGGTGAACACAGATATACTGTGGTCCATCTGGTGAATCTCTCTGAACTACTGATGATCTATGGGCAACAGTTTGAGAATCATTGCTGTTGAGTGCCCAGCGATATAACTTCTGATATTTGAATTCTAGAAGGAATAGTATGCAGAGAAACTATACTTTCTATGAAACATTCTGAAAGCATTTGATATCTTAATCTCTTTGGAGAAATGGTGAGAATTACCACGTGATATATAATATGGTAGCTGAATTTCTATTGGCTTTGGCTTTTATCTTGAATTTCTGCTTTTGGCAACAGGTTCTTTCAGCATTCTGAATGCAATGGCAGCAAATTTTCAGAATAGTCTTAATTTCAATATTAAATTACCAACTAATGTGACTCTGGCCAACATTTCTGCTGAAAATTTTATGCGGAATTATATGGAAGCAATAACTTATACTGCATCTACAACATTTTTAGTTGGGATTATTCAGGTAGGAAACACACTTGAATTATCATTTCTTTTTCTTAATATATTTTATTTATTTATTACAAGTGCTTTTATGCCACTTTAATCAAGTTAATAATGCTCTGTATACACACACACACACACACACACACATACATACACACCAATAATAGCAATAAGGCACTATGAACGTCCCAGCTATATACTCCATTGACTCCTAAATTCCCAAATGTCTGCATAAACACCCAGGTCTTCAAATGTTTTCTGAATGACAGTGACAAGGACACTAATCTTATTTCTGGGAGTAACTGATTCCATAGAGGTGGGACCTCTGGCAGAGAATGCTGACTTCTAAGTTTCCTCAGTCTCACTTCATGGAGAGTGGGAACTCGGTATTTTCAAAGAGAGAAAAAAGATTTCAATAACATGTAATGTGGAGTCCTTGGGGTTCTCTCAGCTTGGTTGTTTTCTTGAAACGTTTCATTACCTGGCTAGGTAACATCTTCAGTTACATATTATATGTAATATATGATACATATTTGAACACAAAAGTTGAATGAAAATTAAATCTTAGCATTTAAGGAGTTGAGTCTGCAGTCCTATACATTTATTACAGAATAATACAGAATATTACAGTATTCTTTTTTTGATGCATGAAAATTCTATATTAATTCTGCACCAATACTTTTAGGTAACATTTTTATTTCTGACTGCGATATACTGAAAAAAATAAGTAAATTATTTGGCTTTATTGAAACTTTCTAGTTCCTTTAAAATATAATTTATTTTTTATTCTTTGTACATTGTATTTTATAGTAGGGTTAAAAATACATGGAGAGAAAATTAGATTTTGAGTTGAGAGCAAGGAGGAGACAACAAATTTAGGGATTACTATCTGATACCCCGAGATACTTCACCTTGCACAATTGCTGAAATCTCATGAGATTGCTAAAATCTGGTGATATTTTGCATGAGGACATGGAAATAATTCAAGAGTTCACCAGAATTATACCAGGTCTCAATTATCTCATATGAGAGCTCATACGATTTTATCCAAGATCACTGTTATCTTGTGAAATTCACCATTTTTATTTTTAATGTTTTTTGGTATTTAGGGCCAGGAAGACTGGCCCTGACTTAAACTTATCTCAGAAAGTTGACTAATTTGGAGACATAAAACAGATGACTTTTCCTATCCTTGCAAAATATTCATTTGAATTATAGAAAGAAGCCATAGCTTCTTTAAACTCCAGGTATGTAATATCAAACTCCTGCAGAAGTAGGGAAGCTATTGTGGCAAGTTGAGGTGTATGACTTCCTTAAAAGCCCCCCCCCTTTTTTTTTTTCTATTTTAACCATCTCTTTTGTTCCTTCTAGCTACTTTTGGGCATCATTGGCTTGGGATTTGTCACAACATATGTCTCAGAGAGTCTCATGAATGCTTACCTTACAGCAGCAGCATTACATGTGATTATATCACAGTTCTCTTTCATCTTTGGAATTGTAATTGACTTTCATTCAGGACCATTGGCATTTTTTTATGTGAGTAAATCCACCATTTTTAACATTCCTGTTTCTTGACAGGGATGGGGAGAAGTAGATATTAATATATTTCCCATGGAGAGGTGCAAGATATTAGTTAAAAGTTTTATCAAATTCCTTCATTTGAAATGACATAACAAGTGTCACAACACATGTGAGGAATCCTAACTGGGATATATCTCACCATTCAAGGGCTTAATTTCCCCATTCTTAGATATTATTATTTCTTAAAATGGTGAGGGCAAATCAACCCCCTTTAAACATGGTGGGACTTAACTTCTGAATACTGTAGTATGAAAGAATTATAGCATAAGGCTCTTCATTACTGGGGGCAGGTTATTTAAGAGACCACCTCTCCCCAGTGACATCTACCCATCCCATCATGTCCAGCTGAAGAAGCTTGTTGTGGGTTCTGTCCACTAGATAGTGTCATCTGGCAGGACCCAGGAAGATGGCCTTTTCCACTGCTGCACCTGCCCTATGGAACACCATTCCCCCCAAGGTCAGGCTGGCCTCAACCTTGAGGGTCTTCTGGAAGGGCCTGAAGACTGGCTTTGCCATCTGGCCTGGGGATCAGAAAGTGGGGTGGAGCCCATAAAATGGCTGTACTATTCTTGAATGGCTGTGCTATCCCAGTGATTATATTGTATAGCTTTTAATTGCTTAATTGTTTTTAACATTTGCATTGTTTGTATGGCTGTTTTATTTTTTTATTTTTGGTTTATGTTTTAATTGTAAGCCACCTAGAGTCATGAATGTGAGATGGGCAGCTATATAAATTGAATGAATGAATGAATGAATGAATGAATGAATGA